ATTCAAGGTCTTCTTTAGATCAGAGGAAAAGAGGTCACTTTTGGCCAGGAGCAGGGGACAGATTCCTAGAGAAGGTGGTAGTACATACAGAATGCTATCTCTAATCCCCATATGAACCCTGCGAGGGAGATGCTATTGTCTGCTCTTTAGAATTAAGAACACTGATGCATAGAGAACTTGAGACATTTGCCTAACTTGGCAGATCAGCGGCAAAGGTGCTTGGTGTGTAGTCCCTTTCACAAGTGTATGAGATCATTCAGACTGACCTTTCAAAGAAAGAGGAGATTAAGAGAAGTGAAATGACTTGTCCAAGGTTATGGATATACAGCCAGGAAGTGAAGGAGTCAGAATTTGAACCCATCTGTATCCAAGCCATGTTCTTTCATCTATAAGACCCTACTGTAGTGAAGATAAAGGAGCTCTGGTGGCATGGTGCCCAAGGCATTTGACTGCTAACCAGAAGGTTGGCAGTTCAAACCCACCAGCTGCTCCATGGAAGGAAGATAGGGCAATCTATTTCTGCAAAGATTTACCACCTCGGAAACCCAATAGGGGTTGTTATGAGTTGGAATTGATTTGATGGTGGTAAGTTTGGTTTTTTTGGTTAATACTAAAGATGGGTAGGGTTTTGGCAGCTAGAGATGGAAGATTAGGCATTTCAGCCCTCAAAAATTGAGAATCGATACTTATTTTTAATAGGCTGTGTGTGTGAGAGACAGAGAAAAAGAGAGAAACAGACAGACAGAGAAGACTGCCAACCTTTTGCCTTTGGCCTTCCTTGCATTTTCATTCAGTCTATTTATTGCATCAGCCTTTTCTGTGCTTTTGTTCCCTAGAAATCTGTGTTTCACTTGGGGTTTTTTGGTACCACTGTAACCATGGTAGGGATTCTCAAACCTCAGTAGGGTTTCCCAGCTCCCCATAACTGGCAAGAAGTTAGCAGTTATTTTGCTTGTTACACTTCTTTTCAAATTCAACCATGTATTCTGAGTGGACTCTTTTCTTAACAACAGTTAAATAGAGTCCTACTTGGAGCTTCTCAGATTTCAGCATGTGATGAAAGAGCACAGTAGAGGAGAAAAGGATTCAGCATAAGAGAGGCCTGGGCTTAAGTCTGCTACTTAGTAGCTTAACTAACCATCTGTGCCTCAGTTTCCTCATCTCTAAACTGGGGTAATAACAGACATCTAGCGGGGATGTTCTAAGGAATAAGTAATGAAGTGTATCTGGATCTGATTTCCATGTGGTAGATATTAAATGCCTTAGGCAATACACCACCAGAGCAGATAGTTAATAGAAGTTTTTGTTCTCTTTAATACTTGGAAAAGGGTACTTTCCTTTGAGTGTTTAAGTTAGTAGAGTGGCTTCTCTATAGAGTATGAAGTTGATATTTAACATTTAGTTTAACAAGTTAATGTAGACTCACCTGTGCCTTCTGTTGGGAATATAAGATGGTACAACCATTTTGGAAAAGTTTGGAAGTTTCTAAAATAATAATGATAATAAGCCGCCATTCCACTTCCAGGTATTTACCCCAGAGAAGCGAAAGTATATGTCCATACAAAGACATATACATGAATACAGCTTTAGTTATAATAGCCAAAACTGGAAACACCTTTAAATGTTCTGTCACCAAACACCTTCCCAAATGGTCATCAACAGATGAACTGTGGTATATCCATTTAATGGACTACTACTCAACAATAAAAAGAAAATGACTTCTTGGTACACACAACAACATGAATGAATCTCAAAATAATTACGTTAAGTGAAACAAGCCAGACAAAAGAGTGCACAGTATATGATCCCATTTATATAAAATTCTGGAATATGCAATCTAATGTATAGTAATGAAAAGTAAATCGATGGTTGCTTAGGGATGGTTGCTTAGGGATGGAGGTTGCAGGGAGGAGCAAGAGGGAAGAATTACAGAAGGGCGTGCAGAAACGTTGGGGAGTAGTGGATATGTTCATTATCTTGATTGTGATGATGGTTTCCAGGGTGTATCCATATGTCAAAGCTTATCAAGTTGTACACTTCAGACGTGTGTGTTTATTACATCAAGTAGACTCCAATAAAGCTGTTTTAAAATTTTAAGAGACAGAGTTGCCCTGTACCGTATACAAATATTACTTTAAAAAAAAAAAGTTAATGTAGAATCTATCTGTTCTCAAGATCGTGGTTTCTCTGGAAACCAGTTGAGTTCAAGAAAACGTTACTGCAAAGCACCAAAAGGTAAGTGCCAGGGGAGACCTACAAACAGGAAAAGAAGGGAGATCAGTAACATTTATATAGCAACCACTGTGCCCTGGGTGGCTTTGCCTGCATCATCTTCTCCTTGCAGCAACCTTACATGATAGATATCATAACCCCATTTTACAGATGGGAAAAGTGGAGCTCAGAGTAATTACATAACTTACCAAAAGTCATCAAGCTGGCATTTGGCAGAGCAGGGATTAAAACCAGATCTATCTGACTCCAAAGTCCATGTGCTTTCTACTATAGACCCCTGTTCCCTGGGCTTCTACAGAGAATGCATACGATTAGGGCAGTCCTCAAAGGCTTTTGTTGTTGTTGTTGTTGTTGTTATGTGTCGTCAAGTCAGACCTGACTCATAGTGACCCCTCCTCAAAGGCTTATGGAGGAAGTAATATTTGGAAAGGGCCTTGAAGGTTAGGTAGAATTTAAAGACCTCTTTCAAGTGTTGAAAAGCAAAGATATCACCATGAGGACTAAGGCACACCTGACCTAAGCCATGGTATTTTCAATTGCCTCATATGCATGCAAACACTAGACAATGAATAAAGAAGATCACAGAAGAACTGATGCCTTTGAATTGTGGTGTTGGTGAGGAGTACTGATGGTACCATGGACTGTCAGAAGAGCAAACAAGTCTGCCTGGGGAGAAGTACAGTCAGAATGCTCCTTAGAAGAGAGGATGGTGAGACTTAGCCACACATACTTTGGACATGTTATCAGGAGGAACAAGTGCCTAGAGAAGACATCATGCTCAGTAAAGTAGAGGGTCATGAAAAAGAAGAAGACCCTCAATTAAATGGATTGATACTGTGGCTGCAACAATGGGCTGAAACAGCAATGATTGTGAGGATGGTGCAGAACCAGGCAGTGTTTCATTCTGTGGGGCATAGGGTTGCTGTGAGTTGGTACAGATTTGACAGCATCTAACAACAGGTGGGTGGGGATATGAGGTGAAGAAGGTTTCCAGGCAGAGGGAACAGCATGAGCAATGAATGGCCCAGAGGACTTACGTGTGGAAAAGCAGGCAGTTCAGTGTGATTGGTGTGTAAGAGGTGCCTAGAGGAACAGTGGGAGCAAAAGCAGGAAATGTGGGTACACTTTGGAATAAAGAGATTTGATTACCATGCACAAATCTGTATGTTGAGTGGGGAACCACTGATTGATCCTTGTGGGGCCGGGGAGTAGGGAGTCTGTGATAGTTAAGTTTGTATGTCAACTTGGCTGGGCCTGGTTGAGTCGCTGGGCAGCTGGATGTAGTGATTCCCCATGGTAAGATTGGTAATTAACTCCATGGTGGAATCTATTGGAGCAGCTGAGTAGCTGCTTTGGGTATATGGTCTGCTTCCTGTATATAAGGAGAAGCCTTGGGGAATGGTCTCTAGTTTGCAGCACGCTTGAACCCTGCGTGTAACCGAGTTGTTCAGCAGCCTGCTGTGCTGTGCCAACCTTGGGACTTTTAATGGATTTGAATTAATGGCCTGCTGTCAACCTGAACAGTGATGCCTGGTTGACAGTAAGGTTTGGTGTGGCTTGGTGATATCAGGACTGTGCCTTTTTACTTGTCAACCTTGGGCTTAGCAGCCTTAGCACCCAACAGCTGTCTGAGTGAAGAAAAGCCTCTAGCTTCAGTGGGCCAGGAGCAGGAGGCAAAGCTGAAGCCCAAGGTTGAGGGGCTTTCACCCATCCCCTAGAGCCTGGCACTTTGAACTCAGACTTAAAGCCTCCAAATTGTAAAAGAATAAACTCTTGTTTGTTCACGCTATTCCATTTGTGGTATATTCTTGTCAGAGCAGCACTAGGTAACCAGGCAGAGTCTAACCTTCTTCATCTCTGTATCCAACCTCATAATGCCTGTGTGTGATATGTAATCAGTAAATGTTGGCTAACCGAATTAATCAGAGAATGAATGAATGAATGAACAAATTATAGATGGATGGATAGATAGATTAGAGACCAGGAGAGATAATTTGAGATATGGTAGCCATAATGTCATTATGTATTGAAATCTTCATTATGAAATGGTCCACTTTGTTCTTTTTTTAACTTGCTTTAAATTTAGAATAAAGACTTTTTGCCTTGAATGAATAAAGGAAAAATGAAAGGGCAGGAAGGAAGGAAGGAGAGGAAGGATTGGAGGAGAGGCGGAGTGGCAAGGAGAGATCCAGTCAGAGCTCACTGCCGCTGTCCTGGTAAGGGGCAGCAGGACCCTGGACCAAGGTGGAGGCAATGAGACTGCAGAAAACGGAATACTATAGGCTAAGTTTGGGGCTTTAATTGCCATAATTTGGCAACTGATTGCCTCCTGGTCCCAAGATGGCTTCCAGGCCCAGCCCCAGCCCCATGCCCAGCTCAAGTAGTAGGCTTAGAGCCTGGAAGATTCTGATCCCATTCATAGAAATAGAGGGCTCTGAGGAGGGGGTGCTTTGGGTGAGGGGAAAATGAGTTCTGATTTGGGTGAGCTTGAGATGTCTGTGGGAGATCTGAACGGTGATGCCTGGTTTGCAGTAAGAAAAGGGGTAGTCCAATCGCAAGGGAAGAGTTTGGAACTTTAAAGTGGAAACTGTGCTTAGAAACCATAGCTGCGCTCTCAGGCAGGTAAAGGAGAAGAGGGGTTCCCTCTCCCCTCATCTCTTGCAGTAGAGTGAAAGTAAAATGAGTTTTTAAGCTCTAACTATGGACAAGGCACTCTGCTGTAGTTTCACATCCATTATTTAATTCTCTCAACATCTTTTTGCTTACAGGATGGAGGGCAAAGCTGAATACATTCTCCCTACTGAGACAAGATATGTTGGGGATATGAAGGACGGCATGTTTCATGGCAAAGGGACCCTGTACTTCCCCAATGGAAGCCAATATGATGCCGTTTGGGACAAAGGATTGGCCACAAAGGTGATCAGTGGGGGTAAAGGGGACTGCAGAGGGGAAATCCTTGGCAGAAATATCCCCTAGTGCTGTGGTGCCCCACTCTCCCTGGCTAGGCCACCTCTCCCCAGACTGTCTTCTCCCAGGGTTCTGGGGTCCTCTCCCCTGAACCTGGAAGGGCCTCTAGGGAGGCCATGGTAAGTTCCCGGTTGTGCCACTTATCCTGTGACTTTCAGCCAGTGACATCACCTTCCTGAGACTCAGTTTCTACCTCTATAAAGTGGGCACAGTAGTTCTATGTACCTTCTGGGATGGTTGTGAGAATGAATGTGTGGTACTTTGCTCAGTACCTGACACGTGGTAGACCCTCGATAAACATTAGCTCTTAGTACTACTACAACCACCCCTACTAAAACTCAAAAACTCATTACTATCATCATATGAGGAGCTCTGGTAGCATAGTAGCTAAGACACTTGACTGCTAACCAGAAGGCTGGCAGTTCAAACCCACCAGCCACTCCTCGGAAGGAAGATGGGGCAATCTACTTCCGTAGTGATACTGCCTTGGAAACCCAAGGAGGGGTCGCTATGAGTTGGGTCCAACTTGACGGCACATAACAACAACATAACAACATCATCATATAATCCACAGTTCTTAACCTGACGTTTGTGAGCCATGAGTAGAATTCAAGGGACCAGTGAAACCCCTTCATTTGTATGCAAAGGTTTCTGTGAATATATACCTGTGTTTTTCTCTGGGGAAAAGATCTGTTGCTTTCATCAGTTTCAGTAAGAGTATGTATGGGGGCTGGCTCATAACCTTAAAAAGGCTTTAAAATCCTCCTTTTTTATGGCTTGAAGAATTTAAGCCCTAGGAAGGGGATGTGACTTACCCAAGGTCACACAGTGAATTAATAAAATTGTTGGAATTTCCACCCATGTTTCCTGACTCCCAGGCCAATTCCATTACTACATCCTGAGGCTTCCTTTAGCACTATAGCAGCAAAAGCAAAATGCAGTGCATTAGGACAAAGGGCCATGGCTGATGTATCTGACCCTTTATCTACGATAATAACAACTCAGAATTTATTGAGTGCTTACTGTGTGCCAGGTAGTAAGTTCAACATTTTACCTGCACTATGTCCCTGACTTTTCAATCCGCCCTATTGCATATATATTATTGTTATCCTCATCTTACAAGGGATTAAAAGGAGGCCCAGAGAGGGTAAGGAGGGTAAGTCATCTACCCAAGCTCACCCAAAAAAACCCAGACTCACTGCCATTGAGTCAATTTCGACCCCTAGCGACCCCTCCTTGGGTCTCCGAGGTGGTATCACTACGGAAGTAGATTGCCCAACCTTCCTTCTGAGGAGTGGCTGGTGGGTTTGAACCACGAGCCTTCTGGTTAGCAGTTAAATGCCTTAGGCACTACGCTACCAGAGCTCCTCAAGGTCACCCAGTGAGCTGCATATTTTGAGTACCAGGCACAGAGTTTGGTACTTTATGTCCATTCCTTCTAATCATCGCAACCATAATAATGATAGTTCTCACTTCTTTTCCACAGCAATGAGAAATTGCCTCTGCTCATGACATCCTTCCTTTTTGACAGAAAGGTTTTGGCTGCCTTACCTGCATGTCTGTGCTACATGTCTTTTAGGGCACCTACACCTTCTCAGACGGGCTACAGTACAAGCCTAAGAACTGGCATTACTGCGACAGATATGATCGGAAGTTCTACACCGAGATTTGCCACGGCTTGAAGCCTGAAGGTACCCAGGCATCCTCCCTTTCCTTCACACCCAGACTGAGAGGGAAAGTAAGAACAGTTTTAAGTCAGTGGGCTGTGGCCTGTTGCAGTAACCCAAAGGAGAAGAAGAAATGAGCAGGTGCAGCAGAACACAAAGAACCAGGTTCTAGAGCCAGAAAAGCCAGGACCCAGATCTCAGCTCCCCGCTACTAGCTGGGAAACCCTGGGCAGGGACTTCACCTTTCTGTGTCTCAGTTTCCTCACCCACAAAATGGGGAAGTAGCTTCATCTACTTTACAAGATTGTTGTAAATAGGATAATTCATGTGAAATTAAAACAGTGTCCTGCACACTGGTAAGCACACAGCACCTGTCTGCTATTATTACTTCTAGTACCATCTGTAACACTAAAAGGTGTAAATGTTACAAAGGAAGAGGAGAGGGGAAAGAGTAGCCCTGAAGGAGCATGTGCTCTGTGTATCAGGTGCTGGGTGAGGGTCTCTGTAAACCTCATCTCCTCAAATCTCCAGATGACCCTGCTAGGTCAGCCTTCTTGGTCTCATGCCATAAGGGAGAACTCTGAGGTGGCAGAGCCTAAAAGTGTTACATGGTGGCAGAGCTCACATTGGAGTCTAAGTGTTCCTCTCTGAGGCCTCCTGAGTCACCAAAAAAAAAAAACAAAAAAACCAAACTCACTGCCATCGAGTCGATTCCAACTCATAGTGACCCCCATTGGGTCCAAGGCTGTAAATCTTTACAGAAGTAGATTGCCCAGTCTTCCTTCCACGGAGCAGCTGTTGGGTGTGAACTACGGCCTTTCTGGTTAGCAGCCACGTGCCTTATCCACTCTGCCATCAGAGCTCCTTTTCCTGAATCACACTGCCTCCATAAACCCATGTTCCATCTTAAAGAGTTACATTTGGGCCTGCTGTCTGGATGTAGGGTGGCCTCTGAAGGGACTCACCTGTATTTCTGAGATTTGTGCGATGTCATTTGAACTTCAAGAAAAGCACAACTCTTGGCATACCAGGGACAGCATATCCAAAATGGCAGATGGGAAAATGACTGTAAACTATTTTTTTAAAAAAAAAGTCACCACTTGAGTAATGGAAGATAGTTGGCTGTAATTGACAGAGCATGGAGTTGGTAAGTCTGGGTTTGAGTCTAGCATTTCCTCTCAATAACTGGACAAGCCTGGGCAAGTCAACCTCCATCAGGGCAGAAACCTTTGGAAAATACGAGGCATTGGAGTCATACAGATCTGAGTTCAAACTCGGGCTCCTCCCCTTTTTGGCTCTGTGGCCAGGTGGCCAGGTGCATTCTTCTCTCCCTTTGCTTTCTATTCTCCCATCTTCCCCCTTTGCCAGCTTCTTCTCCCCCCAGTTATTAATTAATGTTGGGGTTCCAAGAGTTCTCTGTCTTGGGCCCTCTTCTGTAATCATTCTTTATTCTCCCCCAAACAAGTTGATTCACTTCCAAGCCTTCAATTACCATCAGCTTCCAAATTGAAATCTGAATCCCTGAGCCTCAGGTGCCTGCATCCAGCTCCTTTACACCTGTATTTGGTTCTCCCTCAACCTGTCTGCAATGAGTTCTAACTAACTACCTAGTGATTGCTACCTTGGTAAATGTCAGCCCTATCCTCTTAAAATTAACCCTCCCTTCTCCTTTTCATCGTGTGCCATTAATTGCCTAGTCCTATGGATGCTACCTCTTAAATATATTCATTCATTTGTTCATTCAGCAAATAAGTATTGAGCTATGTGCCAGGCAGTGTTCTCTTCATCCTCTCTGCCACTGTCCTCCCTATTCCAGACCTCCATCATCACACCCCATGGATTACCTGATTGGACATCCACACTTGACCTCCTCCAGTCTTTTCTCCATTCTCCAGTCACTTTTGTCTGTTAAAACTGCAAAGATTATTGCCCCCCTTCTCCTGCAACTCTTCAGTACCTCCTTACTCCCCTCAAGATAAGGTTCCAACTTCATAAAATAACTTACATTCTCTGACTCCTGCTCATGTCCCAGCCTTATCCCGTCTGTCTGCCCTTCTCTGATCATCTCTCTCCTCTCTGACCACATTTGCTTTCTTTCTGTTCCTCTAACAGACCAGGCTCTTTTCTGCCATTCCCTCTGTTCAGAATGTTCTAACCCTCTCATTCACCCAAACAAATCCTTCCTATCTTTTAGATCTCAGCTTAATGTCCCCTTTTTCTGGGACCACTTCCCTGAACACCCAGACCAGGTAAGGTCTCCCTATGGTATATCACAGAGCACCCATGATTCTCCTCCAGTGCCCTGATTGTGGGTGTTTACTGTGAGCTCCGTGAGGGCAGGGACTGTGTCTATCTTATTTACCACTGCATGCCTAGTGCCTAGCACATTGCCTGGCACATGGCAGATGTTCAATAAAAAGCTGTTGTCAAACAGGGATAAAAGAACATTGGCAACATGGACGGGGGCTGATAGGCAGTGAGCTTAGGGGTGTTAAGACAATGACCAACTCTGTGTCAGACCCTGGGTAGGTCCTGGGATCCAGAGATAAGAGGGAAGTCTTCTCTGCCTTCAAATTGCTCCTTGTCCAGACTCAGCTTGAGAATTTGGCAATTCACTCCTCCTGGGCTAGTTGTGAGGAGCTCTAGTGGTGTAGTATTTAAGGCATTTGGCTGCTAACCAAAAGGATTGTGGTTTGGACCCACCAGTTTCTCTGCAGAAGAAAGATGAGGCAGTCTGCTTCCATAAGGATTTACAGCCTCGGAAACCCAGTCAGGGTCACTATGAGTCAGAATTGACTCAATGGCAGGATTTTTTTTGGGGGGGGGGTTGTTAGTTGTGATGTGGCCTGGACTTTGTCATGGGATTTTCACCCCACTGAGGCCTGCAAAGAGCCCTTGGCTTTAGGCCGTTAGTTCTCACATGGCAGCTGGCTTTGCCAAAGATGGGCTTCTGCCAGTCTTGGAGGCAGGACAGCGATCCTTCCTGTACCAGCCTGGCCCTTCCCCTTCTCTTCCAGTGTTTCCCAGGAGGGAAGCTTTAGCCTAAGTAGCCATTTCCTTTCCAAGTCACTCAGCACTTTGCAGACCTCTCCAACAGCCTCCTGCTCAGCCTCCCAGCAGACTCATGAGGCAGGCACAGTAAGCACAGCTCCTTCCTCCTGCCTGCAAAGCAGGATGACACTTCAGAGTGCCCCTCAGCTCTCTGAGCCTCTGTGACATGAGCATGAGGCTTCAATGAGAGAATGTCTTTAAAGCACTTGACACAGTAGGTGTTCAGCAGTCATTATTAACCAACATCCAGGCAGCTGCTGTGTGCAGGACACTGAGTTGTGAACATGGTGCTATGCTCAGTGAGTGTGTTAGGCTGGGTTCTCTAGAGAAGCAAAACCACTAAAGCTTATATATATTTGTTGTTGTTGTGGGCCATTGAGTTGGCCCGACTCATAGCGACCCCTCCTTGGGTTTCTGAGGCAGTATCACTATGAAGGTAGATTGCCCCATCTTCTTTCTGAGGAATGGCTGGTGGGTTTGAACTGCCAGCTTTCTGGTTAGCAGTCAAGTGCCTTAGACACTATGCTATCAGAGCTCCTTATATAGAGAGAGAGAGGGAGAGAGAAATTTATCTTAGGAAAATGGCTCACACACTTATAGAAGCTGGCAAGTCCCAGGTTCTTGGATCAAACATCAAGCTGGAGGGTATTCCTGGCTCACGCAGCTGCAGGGGCTGAGGAGCTCAAGGTTGGCAGGCAGTGTACTGGCTGTTGACTACAACAAATGACAAATGCAAGATCTCCAGGCTGAATGGTGGATTGTTTGCTTATGGACAGTTGTAGGCAGTACAATAGGATACCGATCCACAGAAGAGTGTCCCATTTCCCACGATATCCATAAATATATTGGAAGCATACCATATCCCTAGGAAAACTCCCTTTCAATGGATTGGCTGCTCAAAACATATACATCCAGTCTCATTATGGGGATAACCTACATCACTACTGCTTAAACCACTCAGAATTGTGGTCCACTCTAGTTGACACACAACTCCAACTATTACAGTGAGCATCCAGGCCTCAGTTCAGAGCAATAGGAAATTACAGGAGATACAGATGAGAAGTTATTTATTTCAGCCTTCCACCCCTTACTCAAGTCACAGCGTTCCAAGATACACAACACACAGGGTGGCATGACCTGAAAAGTGCTTTGATGTTCCTCTTTCTCTTCTGAGTGTTTAAATGTCCATGGTCGGGGCCCATGCTGGGGTCTCCTCCTACTCTGATGTCAACAGCAGAAGAGAGATTACAGAGTGAGCTGCTAGGCTTGAATTCTGAATCTTCGCTTCTTAACTAGATGGCTTTGGGCAAGTGACTTCATCGCTCTGAGGTTTAATTTTCTGTAAAATAGGGCCACGGGGTTGCTGTGGTGATTAAATGAAATGAGTCAAATGCTTAGCATGATGTTTGGAACATAATAAATGCTCAATAAATGGCAGCTGCTATTATCATTTTGGTGACATACAAGGTCCTTGCCCACCAGTCCCATTTCTTTCTCCCGTGCTCACTCATATATGCCCTGCTCTATAAGGTTTCCAAAATGAGGCATAATGGCTCATGCCTCTGGCCATTGCTCACATCGTAAATGCCATCCTTGTCTTGGATTTGCCCTCTTATCCATCTGGACAACTGATTCACTCTTGGGTTCTCTCTGACTCCAGACCTGTACCCTTTATCATGGTGTCACTAGAAATGGAGAATGGAGTTAAGGGAGGAAGAAGGGAGATTTAGGTACTAAGACTCTGTTTGTAGGGCCATTTTCAAAAAAGTCCTTTGGGGCACTCTCCCTGCTGCTCTCACTCTGAATAAAGAAGAAACTCACTGTCAACAAGTCAATTCCAACTCATAAACACCGTTTAGGACAGAACTGGGAGCTCTGGTAGCATAGTGCCTAAGGCACTTGAGTGCTAACCAAAAGGCTGGCGCTTCAAACCCACCAGCCACTCCTTGGAAGGCAGGTTGGACAATCTACTTCAGTAGGGAAAGCGCCTCGGAAACCCAAGGAGGGGTTGCTATGAGTTGGGTCTGACCCGACAGAACTACCCCATAGGGTTTCCAAGGTTATGCATCTTTACGGAAGCAGACTGCTTCATCTTTCTCCTATGGAGCAGCTGGTGGGTTTGAACCACTGACCTTTTGGTCAGCAGCCAAATGCTTTAACCACTATACCACCAGAGCTCCTTACATCTTGAATAAAACTAAAAACCGAACTCACTGCCATTCAGTTGATTCCAACTCACAGCCACTTTATCAAACAGAGTAGAACT